AAGCAGCATCATATGCTCCTACGATGCTGCTTGGCCTGCTGTGTTCATCCAGCTCTACACCTTGTTATCACAAGACATGCAGATGCAAGTTTTGTGTTGCCACCGTAGTAAATAGGCATCATGTGGCCTGACTATGGTAAGGAAAACAAAGGGCTACAGAAGTAATTATAAAACAACACTAGGAATGTTGTGAAGCTAGCATTAAAGCAATACTTAAGCAATTTAGAAGGCTAAGCAAACAAAGTCTAACATAAGTTAGCAGGCTATTGAAACTGCACATGAAAGCAGGAGATCCATTATTTCAACTACGGTAAATGTGGGCAGCATTTATTAAGACAACTGACTGCAGGTCTCATCCAGAAAGAAAAGCTAGTAAGGCAACGAGGATAATTGAAACACTACAGACAGCGCGAATCATCTGGGGAAAGAGTACAGGATTCATCATATAGACCAGTGAAGTGTGGGATTCATTCTCTGAAGCTGTTAAGAGAAAGGAATTATCTTCCAAATTACAGGGAGCAGGATTCATTGAATGAAGCCTTTGAGAGAACTGCATTGTCTTTAAGATCACAGCCGGAGGACCTATTCAGGAAAGGTATTAAAGAGGAGGAATCATTTATTAAGCTGTTAAAAAGATGGGAATCATTCACTGTTTTTGGAAACAGGCGGAATCCTCCATCATACTCACAGAAGATAGGTATTCTCCATAATAATTGCAAAAGGCAGCAATTGTGAATTTGGACCACATAATGATGGGAAAATCTCCAATACAGCCGTGCATGGGTGGCAACATTTTTATACTGCAGGTTGGAATCCTTTGAAGAAATGGGAATAAAGCATCACAGAGATACAGCAGAATTAAAAACCTTTAAGGTTAAGAAAATAAATAATCAAGTTAGGAAGACATAGCAAACAGAAATAATATTGTTGGGAAGATTAATTTCAGAGGTGGGAAAAATAGAACGCAGACTTTGGCATCTCAGAGAAAACAGATCTTAAGATATTGAATTATTTCAGAGCTACACATTAAAGTAGAGGTTGAACATGTTGCCGGGAGGATATTATTGAGCTGGAGAGGGTTCAGAAGAGATTTACCAGGATGTTGCCAGGCATGCAGAGTTTGAGTTATAAGGAGAGGCTGGATAGACTGGAACATTTCTTCACTGGAATGTAGGAGGTTGAGAGCAGACTTTACAGAGGTTTATAAAATAATGAGGGATATAGATAAGGTGAATGGCAGGTGTCTTTTCCCTAGGATGGGGGTTTTCAAGACTAGGGGTATATTTTTAAAGTGAGAGAAAAAGATTTAAAAAAGACACGAGGGGCAATTTTTTTTACGTAGAGAGTGGTTTGTATGTGGGATGAACTTCCAGAGAAAGTAGCGAATCCAGGTACAGTTACAACATTTGAAAGACATTTAGAAAAGTACATGAATAAGAAATATTTGGAGAGATATTGGCCAATCACAGGCCCGTGGGACATGTTTAGCTTGGGATTATGGTTGGCATGGACTCATTGGACCAAAGGGTCTGTTTCCAATGTGTATGACTCTATGACT